CCTACCATATGCAGGTTTTGAGACAACTTTTAGAATGTCGACAAACAAGTTTATGCGAGTTTATAGCTCAGTATCCTAAATTCCAGGAATCTTAGCTAATTTGACTGGACTTGAAAGGTTGTCAACACCGGAAATCGTAGAAAAATTAAAGGATATCGTATTGGAAAATCGTCGAGTGACTAAAAGAGATTTAGTAGAAGCCTGAAGCATCTTATTGGGTAGTGTAATCAATATTTTGACTAAAGTATTTGGTTTCAAAAAGCTGTGTGCGCAATTGATGACGCATTTGCTAACAAACGAACAAAAACAGATTCGAATGCGACTTTCTCAGCAACATTTAGAGCGTTTTCGAAAGAATAAAGTAGATTTTGAGCGTCGACTGATCACTATAGATGAGACTTGGATCTATCATCATGATCCTGAATTAAAACAAGAGTCTAAAGAGTGGTATGAACCTGATTCTTCGGCTCCGAAACGAGGTCGGGTTCAGAAATCGGCCAAGAAGGTGTTAGCATCAGTTTTTTGGGATACGAAAGGAATTTTGTTTGTGGATTACTTGCAAACTGGTAAAACGATAGATTCTGAATATTATTGTAACCATTTAGACCAGCTGAAGGAAAAAATTCGTGAAAGAACACTCGGTTTACAGAAGAAAAAAATCCTCTATTTTAGAGCATTATTTAAAGTCACCCGGTAGTCTCGGTAAAAAACACGCCATATAAAGTTTATTAATCATTTTTGAACGGGACTACCGGGAAAACAACTATGCTCGCTCACCTCATCATCATCTCTTTATAAAAGAGAACCTACGTAACTTTGACCTCGTAATTTGGTATAGAATTTTATTAAATAAGTAAAAAAAACTATAAGTAGCTGTAAATATATTCTTAAACAACCATTCATATCTTGTTAATCATCTATGATGAAAAAGTCATTCCTATTCCTAGTCAAAACTCGTATTTCAAATTAGAAAATTTATTTTCTTTTTGAACGTCGAACCTATTTTTTTCTAATTATTAAAAGGTTTAATACCATCAATTATTAGAAAAGCTCCTAAAATGGTAAACAAAAAATAATTTAATGAAATATAATTTATCGCGGATGCTAACGTCCGGATCTTGTTTTGAAAATTATCGATGTTTCAGTCGGTAAATAAAAATAGCATTAGTCGATAACGAAGAAAAAAAATGAAGTCATAAAAATAAACTTTCAATATTAGTAACACATATTGTAATAGATTGTCAAGACTAATTATTCACATTAAAAAATATCGTTAAATAGAAAAACGCTTAGAATTTCAACGCGACTTAAGTGAAACTTCTTAAGATTTATATGTGTTAGGTATTTTGATATTGAATTATTAAATAATAGATTTTTTTTTATTTTATTTTTTTTTACACATTAGTGCTGTACTTGATAACTAAAATTATTAAAACTATCCATGTATATACGCTTTAAACGTTTATTTCAAATATACATGAATTTACATATTTTTCCAAGTTATTTGAATAAAAGAACGAAGTGTTTCTTTTCATTATTTCGAAAAAAACGATGTGTCAGAAGAAGGAAGAAAGAGAACATTAATTAAACATGTAAAATATTATAATATTGCACAGTCACATTGGCTAAGCATTATTTTTGTTACAAAGTTTAGAATTAAATTTAGAAAGATCACGCTACAGTTATATTCTGCGTCCGGTGGATGATCAACTGGTACAAAAGTACGTTTATTAAAAATGGTAGTTGTTTACAAGTCAAGATCACGACAGAAAATAATATTTCAATGATTTGTTTAATTCAGAATCTTATACCGATGTCCAATAAAAAGTTGATGGTTGTTGAATGTTGAGATAAGCGATGTCGTATACCACGATCAATACGGATTAAATTCTCACCGCGAAGTGGTTTCTGTAATTCCTGATCCACAGTCAAAGATTCTACATTTACATTTAATTTTCACAAAAATCCATTTTATTACTTATATATAAAAAAAAAAATATTGTGCCCAGATCACATGTGTTCGAAGTGAAACCAAAAAAAAATAAGTTTCTAGAGAATCAGATGAATGCACAGAATCAAGAATAAGATAATTGTAGAAATTATTTATTATAATATTGTTACCATATATATCAAAGGGCTCCGGTACAATCTTGCTATGGGGGTAGCTAATGAAAACGATCAATATCCAAATTGTATCAATTAAGGTAGAATGCTGAATGCGATAACAATTGACAGAAATACATCTATATATATATAGTTCTCGACACTTATAATAATCACTCAGTTTTTCTTATCTATGGATAACATATTAGACCCTATGGAAAAATTTTTTATAAAAATCTTTAATTAAAATAAGAGATTAATACCATCTTTAAGTGACAATCTAACGTCAAAGACTGCAAACGGAAAAAAAAAGAAACTAAGTAATTTTCTTATAATTTACCTAAATAATAGTCTTTATTATCAAAAAAATTATCTCGTGAATAGTAGTTCATGTGTACCTATCTACCACAGATTTAACAATCCTATCGATAATTACAATAAAAAAGGTCACGTTTAAAATAACGATCTCGCCACAAATAACATTACTTTCATTTAAATTGAAATAAGTATTATCTTTAGTTTTGTGTTTCCCATTCTTTTTGTTAAACAACTAATATTAGATTTGTAGTCAAGTACTTAAAAAAAATTCATATATTAATTTTCAAAAATAATAAACTATATTGTCATTTTTTGGAAACATCTTATAAATTTGGGACTACTGTACGCTGTCTAAATTGCTAGTTTTCTTCGTGAGTGTACCGTGGTCAAAATGGTAATAGTTTACGATAAAAAATGGCTATAAGACGGTGTAAAATTTAGAATGATTCAATTAGCATGTATTTGTAAAACGAACATTCTCACGATGACTCTTTTGATTTCTGTTGTATTGTATGCAAATTGGTAACATCAAAGGTGCACATGGTACGTAAGTGGGATTATCTCTATATAAATGCAGTGACCGACTAACTTATATTATTCAAACATTAATTGGAGTTGAACTAGGTTACTTAGAAAAAGTTTAATAGAAATTTTTTTGAAGAGGACATTTTTAATACATAGTTTATTATAAACTTTTTTAATAACTAACAAATATACTTAGTTCTTCATAAGATAAAAAGTTAATAAAAGTTTTTCTTTAATAGCTTAAAATCGAAGAACTTGTCGACATATTTTATTATATTCATTGTGAT